GCATGAGTATCGGCCTCCGAGCATTTCTCGTTGTAGCTGACAGCTTACAGCAGAAGGAGGGGGAACCACCTATGCCGCGTACTATGGGTGTTTTGCCAAGTGGAAACACTATGCGTGTCAAAAAGACATACTTGAACAAAGTAAATATCATATATATATATATATATAATTTTTATTGAACGTCACATTTTTACGAATATGTTTTTACAATTTAGATGTTGACAGAGGATACTGCACGAAGCATAGGAATGTCCTCATATTTTCCGCACGTACGCCGAGTGTTCGTAGATATCTTGCGCGCATTAGATGTTCATTATGGCAGACCTCTTATGATGACCAGTACTCAAAACATGAACAAGGAGCCGGACGAGATGATCACTGGAGAACGTAAACCTCGAATAGACCTCTTTCGAACTTGCGTTGCCGCCGTTCCGCGACTGATTCCCGATGGAATGACCGGTGCGGAATTGGTCGATTTACTGGCACGTTTGACAGTACACATGGATGAAGAACTCCGTGCATTGGCATATCAAAGTTTACAGACTCTAGTATTAGATTTTCCCGATTGGCGACAGGACGTCGTGCTTGGATTCACGCAGTTTCTAGCCAGGGATGTGCAAGATACGTTTCCGCAGCTAATTGATAACGGTTTAAGAATGCTGCTGCAATTGCTGACCAGTTGGAAGAATGCTCTCACGAGTCCTAGTATAAGAGCTAAGGAGCAATCAGTGGATACTACACGGGTGAATATACGAGTGGATGTTAACATCAAGAAATGCGAAACAGCCCAGGTTTGTATTAATATTTATTATTTTGGAATTTGCAGGCAACGCCTGCAATAGAATGCAATTGTAAATTTTATTTCTTGTTTCTAGAAAGTAGAACCTGTATCGAACATATTCTATCTGGTAGAAGGATTTGCTTTAGTTATGCTCTGCAATTGTCGCCTTTATCCTCGACGATTGGCTGTTCATATACTTCGGGAGATTAAACTTTTACTGAAGACTTTAGGTAATTATATTTACGCGTATTGTGCACAGAACATCAAAATGTATGCCTTATATACGTCATCTTTTTAGGAGGACCTGAAGATGATCAACCAGTCATTGATGTAATTGATGCTTGCTGTCCGGCTGTTTTGGAAAAATGTTATCCTATATTACCTCCAGCTGAGAAAGCAGCCGCTGCGTCTACTTCTAACGTGGATTTGCAATGGATAGCTGATAGAAGTAGTTGTGTTTGGACAGCTGGTAATACTAAATTTATCATACTTTTTATGCAAGTTTATATTATATTTATCTATATTTTATATTGCAGGATTTCACGATGAAAACAGTACTAAGAGTTCTTCCTCGCTTAATTTAAATGGAGCCGATCCGTGGGCCAGTTGTCTATTTGCTTTTCTGGAAAAGGACAGAGTACTTACGCTATGTCCAAACGCCGTAGCTCATTCTTGGCCTATTGTTTTCACTCGCATAAACTCTTTGTTTTCAGTTGTGGATCCCACGTAAGATTAAACTCTATAACAAGTTTATATATTAGTTACATTAACAATTTTGAAATAATTAATAGTATTCTGTATTTTTACAGGCCAGTAAATGATAATCGAGCTTCGTTATTGCGAAGTTCGACGACAGTGAGAAAACCAGTAAATGAGAGGGATGTCTATATGCATATTTGGAAAAATTACCTGACTTTTGGATATAGAGTTGTGCCACCAGTACCGAATCCAGTTGTTCGATGCGCCAGTCCAGATCTCAGTCTCAGGTAAGTTAGTCACATGAAAATTTATATAGCAGGAGTTCAGAGATATATTATATCATCCTATTATATATTATTTAATATTTTCAATAGTTTTAACTTATAATACAATATTCATGCTTATATTATGTATCACTTAATAAAGTATGTATAATCGCGTGCATCGCTATGCTCGCTGTAGATGCAACTGAAACAGTTTGTTCGATGAGCAATAAAGTGCCTCGTTCAAACATCTGCATCGAGAGAATGTATGCACACGATTTATGTTTTAATGAAATATTTCAACGAAACTTTAGATAATTAAAAACTCATATGTTTAGCAGAATATATTAGAGCTTTAAGTGTCTATATAAAAGTGAGTCACTGAATAAAATCAATAATATCAACTTGGTATCGATTGGTGTTGGGTCATGCTTGTTAATATCCACTATTTTGCACAGTAACATTTACTTTACTTGCTTTATGAAATCAATTTCATCAGCGGTTAAATATTTTACAGAATTATAAAATTGCTCATTTTAAACGTTAATTCTACACAAACACAGTTACTGAATTATAATTTTATAATGTTTTATATTATATAAACAGCAAAAGATCTAATATTATATGTATTCACACATTATTCTCTATCCGATGTTGCGCACATCTAGCTATGGCAATTCTTTAATCGAGACTAGCACCAATTCGTACCAAATTCGCGCTTTGCATTCGGGAGCGGAATCCATACTTGCTCTGTCCTTTCTTCTATGCATATACATACTTCGCTTTATTTTTCGCAACATACTACCTAAATTTCTCGCATGCTGTCTCCTATCGTACTGTGTCTCGTACATGTACATCTTCCTTTCTCTCTCTCTCTCTCTCTCTCTCTCTCTCTCTCTCGTTCTCTTTCTGGATATTAGAGTAGTAGTTCTCTGAGTAAATAATGTCTGATACAAGGAGCATTGGTGGTACACTGTATTGCATACTCTAGTGGTCAGCATACGGTGGAGTTTGGTGTGTTGTGCATGAGTAAGGAGTTGAGTCAGAGCCTGGAGAATCTCGGCGGGGCGCAGACCCTGCCGGGTCGGTTTTCTGTTCCGTCCATTTCCGGCATCTACACCCGACACAAGCGTACCAGGTGAGCCTGAGATTAACAATCGCGAACAAAACGACCATGCTTCCTTCGATGTCACCCGGGATTTAAACGGTCGTTGGTAATTCGCACTCCGTATCTTTTATAATTATTAAATCTTTGTCTCTTCTTACTCTCTTAACGTAGCACAGTTTGGTATACCCCTTTCTTTCCACTGAACTTTCAGCTTCGTACTCGAATTCTTTCGCCCTAACAAGTTTTTTTCGCGCGTACTTGCGTATACCATCCTTGCCTAGCCTTACGACCGTTCCCGATCGCTTCTTTTTTCGGAAATTAAATTGCGACCGAATATTTTAGAGCGCACAGTTATTAATTTACAAACTTCAGTAACAAACCTATGATCGAAAAATAGTGAAACGCAACAGTCTCGTTTTCACAGCTCCTCGCCCGACAGTCTATCCGCGGAACGCGGCGACAACAAATCACCGGGCACAAATGCAAGTCCGGCGGCTTTGTATAAGCTGACTGTGCCTTTGCTAAGATGCGAAGCCGTCGATGTCAGGGATGCCGCAGTGCAGGCGATTGGGAAAGTAAACGCCGATGCTCTAAAGTAAGTACATTACTATCTAAGAAGATGAATGACGAAAGAGAGATTAAATTGCAAAGAGATTATTTTCTTGATATAGAGACTTGATGGAGGAACTGGTACCTTACATCCGGGAAGCGGTTGATCGGAAACAGGAGAATATGAGACGGCGAAGAAGACGCGATGCTTTGAGGTTGCAGCTAGTAAGAGTACTGGAATTAATCGCAGAGTATGGAACGTTCGGTATCTGGTTAGTTAATTCATTTGATGAATTTCATTTTCTCACTCAACAAATTGGATTTATAAAGATCATCTTTCTTCAGTCCAGCGGTATTAGATCGTGAGACACAATCTTTACATCCGACATTTGTCGAGTACATAGACGGTGCGCGCATTTATCTAGAAAACGAGACCGACAAGGAAGCACCCGCTGTACGAGACATCAAGTTACACTTCTGCAACTTTATCAGAAAAATGATCAAGAGTTTTTCATGTAAGCGATTTTATTTAAATAATTTCGTTAATCGCGAAATATACGTGATGCCTTAAAAGATTTATTAATCTTTTTTTTATTTTTCTAGTGGAGACGTGCTATACTTTATTAAAAAGGGATTTAAGAAGAAATTTATTCATGCTCTTCGCTAGTTGGGCTGGTGTTTATGGCAGGCCGCTTACGAGCACGTCATCCCTACAAGAAGAGGAAAAGTCTTGCACGGAATTACAACTCTCAGCCTTGCAAGCTATGAGTGGATTGCTTTGTTGTGGATCATGCTTTAATCCACAGTCGCTTTCAGAAGAGGGTGCGATTTTGTATCAATGGCTAGATTTGTTACTGGCCAGTAAAGACGAAAAAGTAAGTTTACAAATTGTCTCGTACAAAATTTCATCTGTAATGCGCGCGCGTATTAGCATTCAAAATTACATACAAAATTGTAGTTAATAGTCCATTATATAATACATTAAAGTATTTTCTTTTGTACATTCTTTCTGTATCATATTTTTTATTTTAGATTTATACACTTGCACGCGAAACCGTCGTGTTACTGCTCGAAGGAAATCCCGATATTGGTACGCTTTTGGACTGGGTGGTCGATCGATGTTATACTGGTGCACCGCAAGTGGCCGACGGCTGTTTTCTCGCATTGGCGACGATCTTCAGCGCTAGGTACGCACGAATTAAAAAATATAAAATAAATATTTTATGTAAAAACATTTATTAGGAGAAAATATGTACACACAACGAGTAAAAGATACTAGACACATTTCTCAACAGAGCCACAGATATAATCGCGATAAAATAACAAAATTAATAAGCAGTACAGCAATCGTCCTTTTATGCTTTTCTTTTCTTTAGGGAGTATCCTTGCGACCATTACACGAGTGTCATCAATGTAACATTAATGAATACGGGATGTCCCCGTGCACCAGTCCACGATGCAGCGCTTCAACTTCTTCAATTGCTGGATCAACGCTTCTTCGGAAACGTAGGCCCGTTACCAGCTACGGAACTCGAAGCTGGTAAGTTTATAATTTATGTCTTTATCTCTGCACTATAATACTGCATTGATGCATTACATATTATTTTTTTATTGTCTTCTTCTGACATATTTATTTGATTATTTGAAACTGATGATATCATAATCCTTTCACTGGGAACTTTTGCGTTTCCTGAAAGTTTTTCTGTTGCGCATTGATAAATTGCAGCCGCTTTGTTGAGTTACATCTAGGCATGAATTCTGAAATTGTAAAGGAAGATTTTATCAAATAAAATTTATCATATTTATTTGTTAATTTAGTTTAATACATAAAGATAAATTTTTTAATCGGTGCAATATTATTTGCACACATATATTTTGTCATTATGTTACCTTATAATTGGGTAATTAAGTGCCTACCACACTGTTTTCCATGAATTGTCATCTGCACAAGAGTTCCATTTCTTCTAGTACTTGAACGCTTCGTACATATGTAAACTATCTCTCTGCGAAAATTCTGTCCGCTCGCGCAGTAAAGAATGAAGTTTATTCCGAAACTCGTGTCGAATAGTAATTGACTCATTTGTTGCGCCCAAATTAGCCACATCACCGATTTATTATTATCAGGAACTTTATCATTCTGAATTTACATATACATATAATAATTATTAATTATAATGTATAATAATTTCTGTAACAGTCAAAATTTATCTATATATAAAGAGTAATACCACGAATCAATAATACCACGAACAATGGGAAATAATATAAACTGCAATACATAGCTTTTTAATCATGCAAACATCTAATTTTCCAAAAGTACTGTACAGTGTAAGTGTATTGAATAAAATTCAATTAAACATCGAACATTATTAAACAATTTATGAATTTTAGGAAAAATTATTAAAAATTTCATTAACGATTATTATATCCATAATTTACTCTTTAGAGCAAAAGTTCTGTATTTGACTTTAGCATTAATAACTTTAGCATTAAATATCGATACATACACCAACGACAGCAATCACCCTGAAGACAAACGCAGGCATATTAAGGCAGAAGAACGCACTCGAAACGAGCAGAAGCATTTTTGTGACTTTAGTCTGTGGCATTCTGTCCCGTGGAGCTCTCTCATTGGAAACGTCGGATTCTATGGTTAATGTTCTTCGGATATGATCGAGTTTATAGATGTTGCGTGCTATCAGTGTATTGAAGATTACTATTATGGTCAAGGGTACGGCGAATGTCACGACATTATCTATCACATTATAGGGGATTGCCCAAGATTCCCATTCCTTGTCTAAATAACCACAGTCGGTCGAGTTTTCAGAAATTTTGGAGAACACGGCCACTGGGCTGGTCAGCAGAACCGCTAATGCCGTAAATCCTACCACTATCATCTTCGCTCGGGCTACCGTGCACCAGAATTGACGACGAAGCGGCCATTTGACTGCTACATATCGCTCAACAGTAAAGGCTACCACGAACCAAACGCTAAGAAAGCTACAGAGAGATGCAAGATAGATAAAAAACTGGCAGAAGCCCTGCCGATTGAATAGATCTACGTGCACCATTTTTAGCCAGGACACGAAGACTGTCATTAGGAAACCGCTGTCGCTTATTGCTAGCGCTCCCAAATAAATGCTGGACGAAGAATAACGTAGCTTTGTACCAAAGAATACGAAAACGGACATACAGTTGCCCAGAAGACCCAAAAATACGAGAATCGGCGCATAATAGCGTTGGATGTTCTGGAAAAAACCGTTGATTTCACAATAGAATTCATTTGCTATTGTGCTATTATTTCCAGTGATCATCTTCTTGTTGTGTTGATCTTAAACCATCGCCAAATCATCAATGAAAAGAAAATCGGAAAGCTTTGCAACCACGCTCAGCGTACACAACTTGTGTCATACACGGTGACCTGAAAGAGTATTAGTATGTTCTATATAAAAGACGAGGATAAGAGAGAGAAAGAGAGGATATTACAAACGTCACGCGTTTCCTTTAGATCTGAGGATTGAATTTAGAAGCAAGATCAGCATTTAAAATTCGGCTTGAAATTTGGAGAGCCGAGATAATAATAACTGAGAAGATATTTAACTTATTTGATATGAAGATATTTAACTTATTTTTAAATTATTGAAAATCAGAATTTTTTAGTTAATTATGTTGTGACATTTGGCAGAGATCACAAAATTTTTGTTCCTTTAATTAATATTTCTCCATAAGCATTTCTCAAATTTAATTACTTTTAAACAGATTTTAGTAGAATTATACATTTTACAGTAGATGTCAATATAAGAGAACAAAAAGTAACGAATGATATTTTTATATCCTTTTGAATTATTTTATTGTTGCTTGATTTAGTAAATATATAGACTGTATTTCAGGATACATGATAAGAATGCACAACGATTGTGCATTCTTATCGTATATACTGAGATACAGTCTATATATTTATTAAGCAACAAAAATTACGGGAAAAGTTAGCACTTATCGCGCGCAGGAAATCCTTTGCGCAACAGATACGTTAACTAATCATTATTGCGCAAGTATTCAGATTATGTCAAATAAGTGCGTCATACTTATGTAATGTTGCTTAAAATTTTATTGTCTTATTGAGACCAGGTACAAATTATTCGGTAATGTTTCTTCGACATAATTCTTTCTCATTGACATACTTTATTATATAACATTGAAAACTATCTTACAATGTGATGATAACCGCATAGGAAAAATTCTTATCTTTTCTACGCTATTGTGAAAAATGCGATACAGTTTGTAATCTCGGCGAATGTTTCTTTTGTAAAATAATGTAATAGTACCTAACAATCGTTTTCTAAATGTAAATAATTATTGTATACTCATATATATATATATATATATATATATATATATATAAATGATCATAGAATTTTGTTGATATAATATTTTGTATTTTTAGTAATAACGAAGTTTTATATTTACACTTCAGAATGTATACGTCCAAACAATTGGCGAATCGAAGTGTTTTATGTTTCTCTTTTGCTTGTTTATATATAATTTCTGATCAAGTTCTATGGTGCTTTTAATGATTCGTAATTAAATCATTGCAGTTAATCAAAAGCGATATAAATTGATAAAAATAAAATATATGTTACTTATGGTATGGTAAAACTTTGGCCTTAAATATAAAGCAACTTCAATTAAATTTTTTTGGAAAGGCAGTAATAAAAGCCGAACGAGGTAATATAATATAATTAAAATTGTTATAAAAGTAAATATATGTAGGTATATTCTGCTTACAACTGTTGTGATTTATGTATTGACTGTTCTGACTTACATCCAGTATGTATTAAGAATTAAAAAAAGATGAAGAGTAAATAAATCAAAATTAAAGTTAATCTTCATTA